TTGTTTTGGCTCATTGGCTTGTCGCACGACGCAGCTTTGCCGGAATGCATTTTTCTGGAAACTTTTCGCAGAGCGCAGAATTCACTCGGATGCCGAGGCTTATCGTGACTGACGGGAGCAAAGGAGGAAGGCGAAGGAGCGACGGCAATGACGTCAAGCCGACTTGGAATGTGGGACAAAAAAAAAAAAAGAAGAGCGGCACGTGGGAGGAAACGTTTCGGAAGAGGCGCATCAAAGGAAAGCAAGAAAAGATTGAAGACACCGAGGAACGCTCAAAACGTTTGAGGAGGACGACGGCGGCGGAGAGAAAGAGCAAAGCAAACTGGGAGCGGATCCCACGCCGAGTTGGCGGGGGACCGCGGAGACGTTTCCTTTCCCGCAATGTCACGTCGGGGGCGGAGCCATCGTCGGCCGATCGGTGAACAATTACGCCACGCCCACAACGCGAGACATCTTTGACGGCAGGCACCCGACATTTTTAGGAGCAATTCTTCAATCAATGATTTGACCAACGAGTCCAATGATCGCATGCATGAATTCCGCATTCGAGTTGAGACGAAAATCCGACTGTGTTTTATTGGGAGCGGCTTAACGCTCGTTCCAAATAGCAATTATTTCAATTGTCTGTTGATGATATTTTTTCCCCCCCGTTGGATCTGATTTTGGAAATTCAATTTTTTTTTTAAATTGACAGTTCCCCGGGGACGTGCGTTGGCCCAGCTTTTGTGTCCAAGCGTCCGTTGGAAATTGCACCTGTGGGCGCCAACCGTCCGTCAGCGCGCCATGACTGCACTAGCATTAAGCTAGCGGGTCGTTCTGAAGGCAACGGACTCGACTGCGGCTTTCCTGCAGAACTCAACGTGTACGGGTCTTTGCTTTGTTAAGTGAAGACGCGAGCCTTTCTGCGCACTTTCCCCGTGATCTCTGGAGTCGGTTGCCTCACTGCGTTTCAAAACAGGAAGCTCCTTTTCCAGCACCCCGGGCGCAAGACGATTCGGGAAGCGGCGGAAGCGACCGCGGCAATGACCGACGCGGCGCTCAAGCAGTCTCGTTTGACGCGAGCGGAGTGGGTCGAAACCTTTCCCACAATGACGCTCATTCATGACGGCCGCGCAGAGCCCACGGCAGAGTTTGTCCGGCGATTTGCACGCTACGACGGGGTCGCTCACGCCGACGAGCGCGCCTCATCTCGTGGACCTTTATCCTGTTCACCGCGGCACCAAATCTTGCCGTTGCCCGTACGGAACCGCGTGACCGTCCGCCCCTGAGACTTGACGACGACAAAGCGCTTCCGTTTTGTGATGATGAGACGAGGGCGCATCAACATCTCAAGGTTTTGGGGGGGGGGGGTCTTTATGAAACACATGAAAAGAGCGCGGGAGTGCGGACTCACCTTCTTGGTTTCCTTTGACGTCTTGGGCGTCTTCTTCTTCTTCATCTTCTTGTCTTCCTGCTCGGGGTCGGAGGTGACGGCGGGGTTGTCGATGCCGCCCTTCCAGGGGTCGGCGGGAGACAGCAGGGGGTCCTCCTCGCTGCCCCGATGGGCCCGTCCCTTCTTCTTCTTCTGCTGCACGGCGGGCCCGGTCTCCTCGCCGTCGCTGTCCGAGTGGAAACGCCTTTGGTAGGCCTTGGTCTTGCTGAAGAGGATTTTGGAGCGGTGTTTGTACTTGGAGGGCCTCCGTCCGGCCTGGGCCTTGCGCTCGTATCCGTTCTCGTCCTCCGCTCCGCCGCGGAGGCCCAACGAGTTGCGGACCTTGAGCGGGCGGTCGCGCGCGTCGTCCGGCTCGGCGTAGATGTCGTCGGGCCGGAAGGCCCCGCTCCTCAGCAAGGCGTCGGCGGGGTCGGCATAGCCGTCCGAAGGCTCCGCGTCGTCGGGGTGCGCGGCGTG